TTGGAGAATTAAAATTAATACCGCGAAATGTAAAATTGTCCAATTCCGTCGCTACAGAAGAAATGTCACTACGAACACGGATATCAAGACAGAGAATAATGTGATTTCAGTTTGCTCGTCCGCAAAGTACTTGGGAGTTACCCTAGATGATAGGCTCACCTTCAAAGAGCACGTAACCAAACAAGTAAATAAAGCAAACGGAGTTTTCATGTCGCTTTATACTGTTATAGGTAGGAAATCGAAATTGAGCTTAAAAGCTAAACGCATGATCTATCTCACTATGATTAGGCCAGTTATGCTCTACGCCGCGCCAGCGTGGGCAATTGCCAATAAGACGGATAGGAGAAAACTAGAAGTCCTTCAAAACAAAATTTTGAGAGCCATCACTAATGCGCCCTGGTTTGTACGAAATAGCATCATTCATGCAGACTTGAAAATAAAGCCCATTCCTGAACAAATCCTCATGGAGGCGCACAACTTCTTCGAAAAAATGGATAATTCTCCAGTGCACACGCTAAGAGAACTCGGTAATTATGACCCTACGGTGGACAGCGTGGTGAAGAGACCTCGGTCAATTCACCATAATGCGCGGTGGTGATGTAAATATGTAAATAGTGTACATATGAAGTTGTGTTTTGTGCTCTATCTAACCTTATTTAACCAAGTACTGTGTTACAGCCAAAATTAGCTATTTGCCTGGGAAGCAGGCTAGAGACTCAGAATTAATAATGTGTTAAGGACTGTGTATTCTGTGATCTCACCACGCCCACTGCTGTGGTTCTACTCCTGATTACCTGCTGGACTGCGTACCCCCTATCTCAGTAACCTTACGCTACTATCTGACCGAACCGAATGCATCATGCATGGACTTGAATGCTGGATGATTTGTTTTTCCAAGTACTAATTTCCCAATTTTCGTATATTTAGCTTGACTTCCCCACGGAATGATTGCACCTTGTTCTAATGTCACGCCCCCGGGCGAGGTGCAGTAGCACCTTAATGTACTAAAAACCGTGAATGGCCTTCATAGGCTGCACAGATTGTACAGGTCAAAACTCAAAGTAGTTGTATACCTGAGGTGAATCAGAAATAAATAAATAAAAAGTTCGTAGTAGTTACGTAGTTTGTTGTTGTTGTTTAGAAAACTGATCTTGTTGACTGTAGCGAATTCGCGGATTAGCTTTCTTTAGCTGTTTTGAATTAAGTTCTCTTGAACGTTTGAGTAGTTAGAAGATACTACTGTGATATATTGTGATACTGCACGATTATTTGAGGACATTTAATCATATTTGTTGTGATAATAATAAATTTTTGTTCATTTTTCATCGGACTTGTGCATTCATTTCGTAACGAACCCGTACGCACGCAACAATTTTTGGTGTCAGGAGTGGGATTTGAATGCCAATAACAAGAGCGATGGAAGAGCAATTAAGGCAGTTGATATCATCCTTTGCCTCGTTTAAAGAAGAAATTAAAGAGGAAATGAAATTGGGCAGGGAATCCGTTAAGGAAGAAATGAAATTGGGCCAGGAATCCGTTAAGGAAGAAATGAAATTGAGCCAGGAATCCGTTAAGGACGAAATGAAAGCCGTTCAAGCTGGTCAAGAAGAAATGAAAAGAGAAATTACCTGCATAATAGAAAATAAATTTGAAGCTATGGAAGGCAGAATTGACACAATTGAAAAGAAAGTTGGACAAATTCAAGAAAAAGTTTCTTCCGTAAAAGATCAAATTGAAGAAAGAGTTTCTTCAGTGAAAGAAGAAATAGAAGAAAGAGTTTCTTCTGTAAAAGAACATATAGAAGGGAGAGTTTCTGCTGTGAAAGAACATATTGAAGGAAGAGTTTGTGCCGTCCAACACCAAATCGAACAACAAATTGATGATAGGGTTTCTGCAGTAGCCAAAGAAGTGGATATTTGAAAGAAATTCGTAGCGACGGCAGGGAACAATAGTGATGGTTTTAAATTTTTACCCATGCCTGCTCGTCCCTCTCTAAAGTTATTCACTTATGATGGGAAGACCTCCTGGCAAGTGTATAAAACACAATTTACTATAGTGGCGGATGCGAATGGATGGAATTCCCAAACTAAAGCCTGTCATCTCGCCGCTTCGCTGAGAGCAGACGCAGCGGATATCCTGCAGACGCTTCCCGAAAACCAAAGACTTGACTTCGAAGCTGTATCCGGCGCATTGGAGCTGCGCTTTGGCGAGAAATGTTTAAAAGACTACAGCAGGCTTCAATTAAAATCCCGTCAACAGAAGCCCACCGAATCACTCCAGTAACTCGCCACGGATGTTGAAAGGCTGTCCCAACTCGCCTTTACGGAAAACGAGGGAAATCCTGTCGCTGCAATATTTCATCGATGGCATCCGGGACCCTGAAATAGAGAAAGCACTGCGAATGGCGGATGTTAAAGAATTAAAAAGCGCTCTGCTGTACGCCGTGAAATTGGAGGCAGCCCAGCAAGCAACTCATAGAGATCGCTACCCAGTCAGAGCTGTGCGAGTCCACGTGCCAGGGGACCAATTGATGGCTCGTTTAGATGATTTATCCAGACAAGTCGACGCTTTGATACGGAGTAGCAGTGAGAACAAAGTGGCTCGAAGGTGTTGGAGATGTCGATCTGAAGGTCACCTACGACGGCATTGCAGAACACTTCAGGGTACGGATAATAAAACGGATGAGTTGACAAGACTAGTGAATGCCTTGAGACGGAATAGTGGTGAGAAGAAACCGACCCTAAAGTGCTGGAACTGCGGTGTTGAAGGCCACGTACGAAGAAACTGCAGAACACCCCAGAGCACGGAAAATAAGGCATACGATTTAAACAGACAATTAAATGCCAGGGAAGTAAAAGAATTGACAAGTGCTGGAACTGTGGAGCTGAAGGCCACGTACGAAAGAATTGCAGAACACTCCAGGGTACGAACATTGAGACCATTTCTCAGCAAAGACGCAGGAAACAAATGAATGGCCATATCGAGGAACGGAGGTTGCCAGATAATGGAAAACCTTGTTTTAAAGCCCTCAAGATTTCTATAGTGAGTGGCAACAGTAACGGACTGTCCATCAATGGGCACATCGATGGAGTTCCTTGCAATATGATCATTGACACAGGAGCTAATGTTACCATCATTCGGAGGATTTATCTCAACAGTTTAAAGATAAACTTATTTGGACGCCATCCTGTGTTACCCTTCAGACTGCGTCTGGTGACAACATCGAGATAGCTGGGAAGTTAAACGTGAACATCACGTTTGGAAGTGCCGCCTACAATCACACGGCATATGTGGCGGATATTACAGATCCATGCATACTCGGATTGGACTTTTTAAGAAAATACAATTTTTCCTTAGACTTCAAAAACAACAAACTGCTTTCAGCATCTGGTGACATGACTATCCATCCTCAGAAGAGATCCTCACCTGTAAATGCCGACGCCTTGTCCGAAAGACCCCAGCTCGGGAAGCCGCCGAAAATCATGCTAGGGCCGAAACGAAACGCAAGACTACCAGCTATTCTCCATCTCAGAAGTCACCTTCGGATGATCCATATACAGTGCTGAACACGAATGACGTCGTGGTTCGGATCCGTAAGTCTTCGAACTCTAAGCCTAAAGTCGTTCATTACGACAGGTTAGCTCATTACTATGGCCATAGTATGTAATGTAAATAAGTGTAAATAGTATAAGACCATGGTTCTTTTTGTTTTTAAATGTGTATTTGATTTGATTTGTATTTAGTATTTGATAGCATTTGATTTGTTTTATTTATTGCATTTATTGTTCATGTTTTTTATTATTGTAATGTAATGCTTATTAATGCATTTATGCCACAGTTGTAAGTTTAGCTTCCTCTCCAGGGATTGTACTGCCCGGGACGTGCAGTCCTTGGGAAGGGGGCAGTGTTACGAATTTGGTATTTAAAAAGCTAATGTTAGTTCAATTATAAATTAAATAGTTTTATTTCCCGCACAGCGCAGCGCGTGACGAATATTAAAAGAAAGTTAAGGCGGAAAAATTGAAAATACAAGAGCACGTGCATTTAACATTAAATAAATAAATATGTCTTTTTGATTTCGAGAAAGTACCAGAAAATTCTCGCACGCGATCTAAAAGTCTTATAAAAGGAGGAAAACCTCTCAGTTCGTAGCAGTTACGTAGTTTGTTGTTTAGAAAACTGCTCTTGTTAACTGTAGCGAATTCGCGGATTAGCTTTCTTTAGCTGTTTTGATTTAAGTTATCTTGAACGTTTGAGTAGTTAGAAGATATTACTGTGATATATTGTGATACTGCACGGTTATTTGAGGACATTTAATCATATTTGTTGTGATAATAATAAATTTTCTTCATTTTTCATCGGACTTGTGCATTCATTTCGTAACGAAACCGTACGCATACAACAATATAAAGAGATAAAAGGGTTAATAACTTCTGCATTAATTAACTAAATCGGAATAAATTTAATGACAAGTATGTAAAGAGTTAAGTATAAAAACTAAATAAAATGAGAAATTTAATAATAATTTTTAAAAAAGTCATAAAATTAAGTGCAATAATAGAACAAATGAAAGGGAAGTGAAAAAGTAATAAAAGCGAAACATTATATCAGTTGATAAAAGGAAGGTATGTATATATATTTCTATTAGTGTTCTTCAGAATCAGATCAAACTGCATCTTATTTTGATTTCTAATCCATTCTAAAGTGATTTTGTAGGGAGCAGCCCATAAAAATTCCTCATCCTGAAAATAATTGCATTTTAACGTGGACAATTTTCTCTTCTACTTCTCATGTTCCAAAAATTATAAAAATGTTTCGCTTCTACACGTTTTCCCACTAGTGAACCACTGTAGTCGTATGACAACATGAAAGCACTTTTGGCGGTAATTCCAAGTTTAGTATTATGCCAATGCCAAGCGCTAGAATTCCCTTGAAAATTTCCCTCTTCCTTTCTGACTTCCCGTTCTGTTACGGGAACTTCTGCGCACGCGCGAAAAAGTTGGCGTTCTGACTGCTACTTAGAAACCTTCTCCGTGGGAGGGGTACGACGCGAAAAGAGGAAACGCAATAAACCGGTGAAAAATTTATACAGAAGCCGTCATACAGTTTTCGCTCATTGTTGTCTGAAACAATATATACAGTGCAGTGCTAATCAAGGATAATGGCCAACTGCATGAATGAAAGTGAGTATTGGTTTGTTTCTATATATATTCTTGATCGCATAGATCTTAGGCATAATAATTTCGGTTTTCATCCGCAGAGAACCCGTTGGCGCTTCGGGAAAAAACCCGTTTTCGCCGTTGCATTTTTACTCGATGAGCCGAGCCGTAAACGTGATATTTTGTTAACGTGATTTTTAGTGCACGTAAATTCAAGTTAGCAGACAAAACAGTATATTAAGCATGTGGTAGTAAAAATTCACAGATAATAAGCATGTAGATGTAAAACTAACCGGTTAAACGTAATATATTCATTTAAAAATATAAATTAGTACTAATGTACTGAAATTAACCGGTTAAACGCGACAAACGAAAAAAAAAAAAAATTGTCTTAAATTCCAGTTAATACAGAAAACAATATATTCCTTACACCAGCAGTGGTTTGTTAATTGTGGTGACCATGGTGATGCATCAAACTATTCTGTCATCTTAGATAACCAATAATTTTGATTTCAATTTAATCATCTATTTATGTCACACCTACCATCCTCTGAAAGGTTATTGTTAGAAAAGCATTAACATTATCTTGTTAAAATTTTACGCCATCAAAATTGATTTATTCTCATAATTTTAGATGACAATAACTAATAATAAAAATAAAAGCATTATTTATTTATTTAAAATGCACATGCACATTTTTGCGGCCTACGGAAACAAATTATTTTAGAGGTTGGAAACCTGATGATTCTGCTCATGGTTCTTAGAGCTGTTAATTAAGAAAACAACGTGAACAGCCGTGTTACAAATTAGCATTCACTTCTCCCGCCGTATTTTCTTCCTTTCATCCCGAGGAGAACCGGCATCTATCTACGAAAATATTTCTATCTATTCATTGTTAAAAAATTCAGAAAAAATAATAATAAATAAGAGAAGAATAATATAAATCTGCAAATGCGAACAACAACAGCGATAATTCAACAAAATGAACGCAAGAGGAATGGTTGCAAACTTCGAACAAGCGAATAGGATAAATCTGCTGGGTTACCAGGTTTGAACTATTATCGCCAAATTTGGCGATGTTTACATTTACCGGGTTCTCTGCGGAAGTGCTTCCTATGACTTAAATCGTATCAAAGTAATAAATACTGAAGCTGTTATTTGTTGTCTGTGGCTGTAAAGAAACTGCGTATGGTATATTATATTATAAGCGATGATTTATCGAAGAGGGGATTTGCAAACAAGATTTTAAAAACAAGTTGTTTCCCCCCCACACACACAAAAATTATTTATTTATTTATTTTGCTATCAATCTTAAAGTTATATATTCCACATTTATATTTTAGTGAGTATTAAAAATTAATCTGCTTAATGCTAAATATATGGCTATATATGTAAGGTACCGCTCATGAGAAACATATGTGCAACAAATCTGAAAACGTATCTAAATGTGATGAAGTATGTACGAAATGCAATAAGTTTGAACTTGGGTGGAACGTTGATTCCATGCAAATGCCTGAAATCAAACTATATATTATATGATGAGTAGTTAACGGGTCATTCAAAGAAAATATACAGTTAAACATGGTATATATATACACTATGTGTGTATATACATGTACTATGTGTATAGATGTATTTTGGATCATTTTTGGTGTTGGCGATAATTTTCAAAGTCGCGCCAAGGCTGCACCGTATACTAGGATTTTACCTAATTGTAAATTAATGCCCCAATGATTAACAAGGTTTTTGTAATTATTTTTTATTAAATAATTTAACGTAAACAAGAGTAAATAAGTTAAAGATTCTGGATTTGCCATCTGTGTCATATTCTTTTTTATGCACTAATGAATTAACACAAAATACTAATTACTTTTCATCTTGTTTATATTCACTATTATAAATGTAGATATATTTTTAAAAGCAGTATTTAAAGGTAGATGAGTAGTCAGTTTAAGATTGTAAAAAATCTGTTTAAGGGTTTTCTCTAGTCATATTTAGCTAGCGGGTTATTTAATATTCTCTGAAAACAAATCCAAAGTATTTTTTACACGCATGCAAAGAATTTCCTTTTAAATTTGTGTTGTTCTTAAGTTTCAAGGTCGTTACCATCGAGAACTTGCTTCTTTTATAAGCTTATTATTCACATTAAATGTTGGAATTTTAGGGGAATCCCCAGCCTTGCTCGTTCTGGAAGCAATTCGGATCAATATTGAATGAACAGATGAAGTTATGAGCATGCGCTGCATTGGCGGTACTTACCCCGTACCTCAACGAAATGTGTCCATTCAGTGTTGCTATTGTTCCTTAACAGGTGTGTTGCTGATTCCCAGTGTTTCGCGTGCGTGCGTGGGTGTGTATGCGTGTCTATGACTCTTTTGAACAGCGTAGGTATTTGATTCGCGATTTCCATACACCTTTTCGTCTGTTATGCAAGCAAACTAACAGGAAAAATATACTGTGGCGTTCTGTCGTGCGCAAAATTACAACAGTGTTATGGCATTATTTAAGATTCATGAGTATTCATAAAAATTGTTAAACAGCTAATTATAAACAGAAATTTTTCAGATTATTATTTGGTAATTATCTACTAATAAGAGTTTTAAATCAGTAAGATTGAGTTTATTAATATTTTAGATTAAGTTTTCTTTATTAATTCGCTAACAGTTATTGTCCTTCAATACGCAAACCGTCCAAGTTACATAAAATTCCTAAGTGAAGGACTTTTCCATGTTAGGGTAGGGACAAAGGTTAGTGAGGAAGTTGCCTCAGGTGAACAACTAGAACGGACAAAATAGCTAAAATTAAGTTAATTTAAAAAAAAAAAAAAAAATTGAGTATTACCTTTTAACTTTGAAACACATATACAGTAGCAAAAGAATTTTGTGTTATAAACAATACAGCTAGATTAAGAAAAGAATTAATGGCATTAATTTGCTTTCAACAGTGTTGAGGTTGTACTGTTTTGTAGCATTAATTTTATTTTTTGGAACAAACTTTTTGAACTTGCTTTACGCTTGTGTTACATAGACTAAACTTGCATGAATACGTGCTCCTAACATTAGTAATTTCTTAATATTGCCCTTTAAACTATAGGTCGATTAGAGTTGACTTAAGGGTACCCCTTGTATTATCGCGAAGTTGTTGTTTCATTTTATGGTAGCCTGTGTAGTTGAATGTTATGGAAACCCTATTATGACGTAATCGGTTGCATCATTCCGGTAAATTTGTAAGGGCTTGTGGTGTGTGTGGTTAGGAAGTATATTGCTTGTTTCTTGGTTTAGACATTAACATTATGGCAAATCTCTGGAATATGGTAACAGGTAGTTTGGCGATATTTTGGTAAGGCGATAAAGGTTACTAGCTAGGACTTTAGCAGTGTACATGGATATAGTCAAGAGTGTGCGCAATGCCATTTTTGTGGAATTCTAGGGTGCTTTTTAAGTGAAAATAGGTCGACGTGTACATGGATGATACCGTGTATGTGCAATTCGTAAAAACGCGGCAAGCAGTGAGCGATTCTGCACTTTGTCCTAATTTCGCACCTAATCTTCGTCATGATTAAGCACTTTTGTTCCATAAAAGTTCTAGCATAAGCGTAAATCGGCTAACAGATTGTTGGAAAAAAATGTTGGAAATGTTGAGTAAGAAAAAAAACATGCCTTTACTTCGTGAAAACAAAATGGCGTACAAAACAAAACTAGCAGGTTGCTGTAACAGGGTTAGTCGCCAAATTTTAGCCAAAAAATCGCCTAGTTACCATAATCCAAAGATTAACCAAAGTATATTTTATAGCCATTAATTAAAGCTAAATACTTAACAGGTGAGTAAAATGTTAACCGCATTCCCTCTGAAACTATGAAATTCCCCCAGGGCGGAATTTCAGAACAGAGGTTGAGAACCTCTATTCGAATTAGTTTTCAAATCACAAATTCGAGTTGATTTGTCTCGCGGAGATCGTCTGAACAGAGGTTGAGAACCTCTATTCTAAAACTTACTTGTTAATTTTTGTGATTGTCGTCTGGTAGAAATTGCGTCATGCAAAGGCTATCGTTCGTGGTTTTCAATCCATTGGTCATAATTAAATATATAATACCAAAAATCGTGCCGATTCTTTAAAATTCAAACACATATACATGATTTTATATTTCAGAAAAACAAGATTAATTGTTGAATTTTGAAATTCCAGAAACTTCGAGAGACGCAACTAGATTTCCTAAAAGCCACAAGCTGGTATTTACTATATCATTTTAAAAGTAGTGGAACAGGTTTCAAATAGAAAGAAACGTCCGTAACGTTGTAAAAGGAAATATATTAATTATTTTTGGGACACTGAGTAGTTTCTGTCTATTAAATTTCATACATATTATTTGCATAAGAGCGGCACGCTGCTGATCGCGAGCTGCTCTATGGCAATCTCCGTATTAGCTTGTACCTGATTTGTAGACAGGTGACGGAGGACGGGGACGCCTGGCGTATAACATAGGTAAACAGGCATATGTCCCACGTCCTCCACTATCTCGAAGAAGCAACTCGCTGGAGCCCCGTGAGGCTGCACCGGGAGTTTACATGGCCATACAGGTGCTAGATGTCGGGTAGTTTTTACATAGGACGTTGTTAATAACACAAAGTAACTTAAAAAAGAAATATAAAGGATAGCATTAAAACACTAACTAAAACACTCATATAAGCTGAAACACATAGATATACAAAATTAAACGTAAAGCATAAAACACACGCGTAATTTACGTAACATAAAGACATAAAAACACACACGAGAATACATATCATGACACATAGATACATATGGAACACGTCGAGCACATAAATGCAAATATTACACACAGAAGAACATATGAGACATAGTAAGATGTGCGTTAAAGCAGTAGCGCTGTGCGGAAATATGCTCAGTTCACATAATACATAATGTACATACTTTCATTAGGGGCTTTCTGTTGCATGAATTACATATTTCGTTGCATACACTACATTCGTGCATTGTACGGATATTATATATTTCGATTTAT